AGGCTGCGCTACCCATGCTGTCCTTTGACAAGGTCTGGGCATTGGGGGAGACTCCCAAGAAGAGAGGAGTTCCTGCACTTCCCAGAAGATCTGAACTAGGGAGTCTCCATAGCAACGCCTGCTAATGCTCTCCTGTTTGTTCTTGGTTAATGCAGAAGTAAAAACCTAATTCGGACCTAGACGCTAATTGGTTTATTGTTCTTCCGCTTGAATCATTATTAAAGAAAGTAAAAAATGCTAAAGTTTATAGTCAGGAAAGACATGTTTTGGCACTGAGAATTATGGAGAACAAGCTGCCCTGAACCAGCTGTGCTTGGAAACCGTAGCCTAACCCAGGGGGTATGTGTTTGCGGCAGCAGTGCATTTCCTGGTGCATGCAAAGGGTCAGTAGTTTGCAGGCTGTGTGGAGGTTAGGTATTTATAGTTAAGAGTTAGACTTCAGTAGAACTAACATAGATTTGATGAGTTGCTTTAGGCCACTTTGAAGTAATTGATAAATTATCCAAGTTAATCGAGTGCTAAGGAGATAGGTTGATTTCAGTAATAGAATATAGACTAGGGCTTTCACGCCCACTCTGAAACTAGGAAAGTTTAGTAGAATGATTGTCACCAAATGTTGTGCTGTCTGAAATAATTGATCATGTTAGAAAATGAGCTGTACTAAGAAAACTAATTGTCCCTCATGTTTTTTAAGGTAACCAAAGAAATGCCTATTTGGTATGAGACCAAGGGAGTCTCTGTACATTCATGAGAAAATATGTAATGATTGTCTTTGTTCTGCTTCGATGGTTATGTTGATGTTATCTCACCGCTTGCCTTACTGTATAAATAAAGACCCTCAGCAGGAGATACTTGCACCAGAGAGAGTGTCTGTGTCTACCTCACTCCACTTCCCCTCAGCCCCCCAAGTTTTCGTCGACGCCGTCTTCTCCTTTCAGGGACTCCTGACATGACATTCAGCAGGAGCGGGTCTCCAGAAATTAGTCCGCATGTGTCTTCTTCCTCACTTGCTTGGGATGCTACAAGGATACAGAAGTACCTTCCTCTAATCTTACATATTCTATCATCAAGACATTCTCAGTGGTGTCAGTAGCAACTGGAATAGGGTACAAACTGATTGTTGGAGACACAGGAAAAGTGTGTGTGTGTGTGTGTGTGTGTGTGAGAGAGAGAGAGAGAGAGAGAGAGAGAGAGAGAGAGAGAGAATGTATGTATACATATAGTGCATCCACAGGTAATTACCTGTGGCATTAAAATTTCATGATTAGGGGAAAAAAACCTCTTTTTTTTCTTTACCCTTTTATTTTACTTCCTAAACTTTAAGATAGTTTAGTTTTTCCATTTGCTAGTATACTGAGCTAATGTTCCTTTTTGAGAGTCTAGAGTATTTTTTGCTTATACATAATGGAACTTTTTGTGTCCTTGGTTCTAGTGCAAAGGTAGCATCAAAATCTTGAAGAAGACGGATGGAGAGACGGAATGAAATGTTGGCCGGGGTGAGGTGAACTATGTGCTGTAATTCATTCCTGAGGAAAGGGCACCTGCTCCACCCTTCTGCAGAGAACTGTGAGCTTAGACTATTTCTACTGCCTGTTCTAGTAATTGTCTATTTTTGGGAAATGACCTAAGGAAATGCTGGAAATACTGATACAATCTACGTATAAAACTATTGACCAACACCTGCTTTATAGCAACAAATGTTTGGAAACATCTCCAGGAAAACCCTCGGGAACGGGTGAATAATCGCTGTATGTCCATATGATGACGGGCAGCAGTTCGAGGGGAGACCATGACTGGGGGGGGGCAGAGGAACGCTGGGGGGTCCTGGGGGGACAAAGGCAGAGAAACGGCGGAGGCGCCCCCTGGCGGGGAGGCCGTGAAACGGGCGCCGCGGAGAGTGTGATGGCGGCATCCGGGAGGGAAGGGCGGGGACGGGTGGGACGGGATGCGGCGCCAGGAGCGATGGGAGGAGGAGCGGGCGGGGCCTGGACGGGCAGGGAGGGCGTGACGGGAGTGATGCGGGAGGGGCGTGGTGGGGATACGGGGGTACGAGGGGGCGCGGGCGCGGGCGCGGGGGTGGGACGGGCAGGGACAGGCATGGCGCGGCGAGGTGGAGCGGGCGGGTCTGGGACTGCCTGGGCGCTGGGGGCGCGGGGAGGAGGAGCGGGCGGGGCCCGGGGGGCAGGGACTGGCGCGGGGCGGGGGGGGGGGTGGTGCGGGGAGGAGGAGCGGGCGGGCCTGGGATGGGGCGGCAGGACGAGGGCTGTGCGGCCCGTCGTGAGCAACACGCAGAGGAGTGAGCGCGGGTCGGGGGACACGGGGCCGGGAGGCCGGGGGGGGGGGGCGCCGGGGGCCGGGGGACCGGCGAGCAGCGAAGCCGGGGATGAGGAGGCGCCAAGGCCGAGGCGCGGTGGAGACGCGGCGGCAGGACCCGCGGGAAGGAGCCGGGGGCGCAGGAGGGCGCGGGGCGGGGCGCGGGGAGCAGTTGGGGGCGGCGCCCAGGAGGGCGTGAGGGAGGCGCAGGCGCGAGTCTTTCACTCCACATAGATTCCTGTCACCCGGAGGTGTCACTCCTGGGGTGTCTGTGAAGAATAATTGTAAAGCATAAGAAAACAAGTAAACAATGACATAATCCAGAATGTTGTGGAGAGGAAGGAGTGCCTCGCTCACTAGGATGCTACAGAAAGACTGTGTAACAGATACCAAAGTATATGTTAAAGAGGGGGCTTTATGTTAAAGCCAGGGGCTGAGTCTCTGGCTGTCACCACTGCGGCCTGAGTTCGATCCCCGGCCAGGGAACTACCCTCAGGGCGCAGCAGACCCCTCCTCTCTTCCTGCTGCTCCCCTCAGCTGTGTATCTCAGTGGATCCGCCTGTTCTGCTCCCCACTCTGTCTCTGGTGACTCCTTTCAATCCCCCACACTTCTGGTCTGCACCCCAGTTCTTTGCAAAAATAAGTAAAATATTAAACTGAAATACACCAGTTTTCTTTATATGTGGGAGCTGTATATGGTCTGAAATTTATATAAGTTTATTGTTGATTCGTGATTAATTCATATTATGATTTACCTTTGTGTTGCAAACAGCACTCTCTCCCTGGGCACCTGTACCAACCTGCGTGTGAAAGCTGACCTTGCCTTTGTGCATGTGGTTAAAGTGCTTTCTCCCAGGTTCCTCTCCTATAATCTGAATATTTTTCCTGTTCCTTAGCAGTGATTGTGGGGGTTTAGCCGGGTGTCCCACATACCCATCGCGTTTCCTGTGGCAGTTCCCTTGCTCTGAGCTCGTCATTGCTTAGTGTTTTTTTGGGAAAATGAGTTTCTCGCCTTTGTTCCCTGGAGGTGTTGGCTTTTTTTTTTTAAAAAAAGGTTTATTTATTTATGCATACAAGAACTGGGGTACAGGCCTATCTCTGGTGAATCCTGTCACCCCCCACACCTCTGGAGGTGTTGGCTTTTGAAGATGGAGGTTCTGAGTCCATGGGACCTGGGTCGTGTCACTTTTATCTCATTCCAGGTCATCTCAGACATTGTCTTCTTTATGACTTTTTGTAATTTGTACAAAGGATAACATGAATTATATGTGTATTCTAGTGTCTTAAAATTCAGAAATATAACTCAGTGCCTTTTATATATGAATCAAAGTTTTCAGTAAATGCAAGACTCATATACAAGAATTTATTTTAGTTATTACTATTTTTTATGTTTTTTTGCATAGCATGTGTAACCAAAAAGGTATCATCCATAAATGTATTTATGATTTATGCACCTGAAATATTTCCTAATTCCAATGACAGTGAAAATATCCTGCTCTTTTCGTTTTAACATGTGTAATTTTTTTAAAAAAAATTTGTTTATGCACACAAGAGGTGGGGTACAGGCCAGATGCGCAGGAGGGTGAGAGGACTCACCAGAGACAGAGCGGGGAACAGACTGATGAAATACACTGCTGAGGGGAGCAGTGGACGAGACAGGAAAGGTCTGCTCGCCATATTGGCATCTTCCTGACCCTCCGGAAATCGAACCCGCGCTGCAGAGGCTGCGGACAGCTTCACAGCACTGTGCTCAACCTGCTGCACCACTGGGGAGGCCCAACATGTGTATAATTTTTTTTAAAGACTATTTATTTATACAAGCACTGGGTACAGTCAGAAGTGCGGGAGGGTGAGCGAATTCACCAGAGCCAGAGCAGGGAGCAGAGCAGGCAGAAGGACCGAAGCACACTGCTGAGGGGAGCAGCGGGCGGCAGGAGAGGTCTGCGCGCCATGTGGGACCCTCCTTCGGTGGCCGGGGAGCAGCCAGGGGATCGAAGAGGCGCTGTAGAGGCTGCGGGCAGCTTGGCAACCCCGCGCTCAACCGCTGCGCCACCAGGGAGGCCCACATGTGTATAATTTTTAACGTATAAAATGTAAAATGTATTAGATGCTGTGTAGTCTGTTTCCATCAATCATTTAAGAAACCTGAGCTGTACATTCTTTTAGGTTGCCTTAAAAATTGATCTATGCACTTTACATAACTTATAAATCAGATAAACTGGGTTAAAGCCCAGTCTCTCTAGTTCAGTGGATTTTTAATTTAGTTTATTGTGGAAATGAGGAAGAACAGTGTATTTTTCTCTAAGTTGTTTTGCATTAATTTCCAAAACGTACAATAATATCTAGAAAATGTAGTAAATGTTAAAAGTGCACCTGTGGCCACCCTTGCTGATGTACATTTGTCATGAAGCGATGAGTTCCCACTGCTCCGTGATTTCTTCCCTGTTCTCTTCAGCTTTGCAAGTTAAAAATGTGGCCTTGAAAGTGAGTCCTCAGCATCCTAGGGAGCCTGCCAGGAATGATACTCTACCCCAGACAGAGCCCCCGAAGCAGCACCTGCACTTTAGCATGGTCTCCACCTCGCTGCTTACATGGACACCATATGTTCTCTTCTCGTTCGCCGTGCCTTTCCCATCTGAGAAATTCACACAGCTAACCCCGTGACATAGAAATAGCATCACAAACACATGCCTCTGAAGCCTTTGGTACGTGTTTTCTTCCATAAAATTATAGTAGTGTCACGAATACTCTGTCATCCTTTTTCCTGAGAGTTTTGGAAATATTGGAGAATATTGATGCATTTAAATTACCTTACTGGAGGGGACTCCCTGGTGGCGCAGGGGCTTGGGATGCAAACTGTGAAGCCATCTGCAGCCTCTGCAGCATGAGCTTGATTCCCGGGTGGCCAATGAACAACCCACAGGGTGCAGCAGACCTCTCCTGTCTCGCCCGCTGCTCCCCTCAGCAGTGGATTTCAGGCAATTTGCCTGTTCTGTTCCCCACTCTGTCTCTGGTGAGTCCTTCCACCCCTCCACACCTCTGGCCTACACCCCAGCTCTTGTATGCATAAATAAATCTTTTTTTTTTAATAAAAGGCAGCAGCTATAGTCAGTTTGATTTTATTTTATTATTACTATTTTTTAAAGATTATTTATTTATACAAGCACTGGGTACAGTCGGAAGCGCGGGAGGGTGAGAGAATTCACCAGAGCCAGAGTGGGGAGCAGAGCAGGCAGAAGACTGAAGTACACTGCTGAGGGGAGCAGCGGCCGGCAGGAGAGGTCTGTGCGCCATGTGGGACCCTCGCCCAGTGGCCGGGGAGCAGCCGGGGAGCGAACCGGCGCTGCAGAGGCTGCGGACAGCTTCGCAACCCAGTGCTCAACCGCTGCGCCAGTGGGGAGGCCCCAGAATTGGTTACTTAACTCTCTCTCTTCATAGTGGTTCAAGTTATGAACACCACAGCGGCCCTTTGGCGGACATGTTTTGTTTTCTTTTCTTTCCAGGGATTGTTGACCTTCAGGGACGTGGCCATAGAATTCTCTCAGGAGGAGTGGGAGTGCCTGGACCGGGTGCAGCGGGCCTTGTACTGGGACGTGATGCTAGAGAATCACAGGCACCTGACCTCCTTGGGTGAGGACTGCTTCCCCCCCAGATTTCCTCATCTACCCCCAGTTTTAATCTCATCACTTGTAGAATGATCTTGGGGATTTTGTTTCGCATGACTTAATTTTAGATTACTGTTCAAAATAAATAATTTTGTATAATAAAGTAAAAATCAAAATCAACAAGCAACTATAAACCAGAGACACACTGGGTGGGGAGGAGGGAGTAGGATCAGAACAAGGGGGGTGGGAATTGTATGGGGACTAGAACCAAGATGAAAATGCACATATTGTGCAAAAATGAAAAATGATGTGGAAAATATATAAAATTAGAAAATAATAAAATAAATAATTTTGAATTTCTTCGTGTAAGAAGAAAATCATCACAAGATTTCATTGTGCCCTTAACGTTCTTTTTTCTTTAGGTGATCTGCATTGTTCACTCTAGATGAGTGGGAACTCTAGAAAATCAGTGATACAGAATGCTGTTGCTTTAAACATCTTATGTTTAAATCTTCCACCCCTAATTTTTGGTTCAGTATTCCTGGGAAGTAGAGGTCAGAACCTGCATGTTGAAAATGTTTCCTACGTTATCGAAAGGTGGTTATAGAGGGACTCATTGAGGAAAGTCATTTTCTAGAATATTCTATAATGTTCTCTTTTCTCCATTGACAACAGTACTGAATGAGATCGGAGAATGACCAGCAAGAGTCACGTTCCCTTTTCTGATGAACAGGTTTGACTGTCTCCAAGCCAGACCTGGTCGTCTTTTTGGAGCAGAGGAACGAGCCCTGGGAGGTGAAGAGAAAGGTCACACCCCCAGGTAGGTGGGAGTGAGTGAAGCAGGAGACACAGGGACCAGGTCCAAATTTCAAAGGGGAGTTGACTTTAAAATGTGGTGTGGGGGCCTCCCCTGTGGCGCAGTGGTTGAGCGCTGGGTTGCGAAGCTGCCCGCGACCTCTGCGGCGCCGGTTCGATCCCCAGCTGCTCCGCGGCCACTGGAGGAGGGTCCCACATGGCGCGCAGACCTCTCCTGCCGCCCTCAGCTCCCCTCAGCAGTGTGCTTCGGTCCTTCTGCCTGCTCTGCTCCCCGCTCTGGCTCTGGTGAATTCTCTCACCCTCCCGCGCTTCTGACTGTACCCAGTGCTTGTATAAACAAAACAAACAAACAAATAAATAAATAAAACATGCCTCTATAAAAAAAAATGTGGTGTGGGAAGGTGCACTTCAGTGGGAAGGGTCTTTGAGATGCCAAGGTTTATTTCTTTTGTCATCACAGAGGGACATCCCTGCCCTTTGCTTATCAGGCTCATCTGTGCTGGCTTTGCTTCCCTCTCCCTTGGTCTTCCATCACACTCAGAGGGTCAACTAAGTTCCTCCCTTAGCTGCTAAGAGCCTGTCTGGAACCCCAGTTTCGCCATAGATTTCTGGGACCTGCGACAATCTGCATGTTTTTGAGGACATTATGTTAAGTTCTCATTTTATCTCCCGCTGGTATTAGTGAGGGGAGTGGTGGAGATACTGCACTTGCATCAGAAATGCCAGGAACAGCAGAGGCTAACGGGACATTTTATAAATCACAATCTCATGGATGTTTCAAATGTGACCCTTCAGAAATTCAAAGTTGTTCATTTCATCAGAGCACAAAGCACCTCCTTAAACATTAGAAAGCATGATCGTGTATCGCACTTTAACGTTTCCATTTAGAAACTACAATTAGAACCCTTATAAACTACAGTTAGGAAATAAAAGTCAGTTTGTCAGAATGACACGACTATAAAATAGTCTGATTTATGTACCTATTGTGTCATGCACTTATATAAAAAAGTGGTTCAGAGGAACTTGGAACATTGTGCAGCCTGTAGTGGTAAATTCTGACATACGGCCTCATCACCTGGCAACCTCGCTGTGGACGCATCTGTAGACGGGCGGAGACGCAGATGCTTTTGTCAAGTAGCCTTGCGTCACAGTAGTTCATAGGCCTGGAGATGTCCCATCGCTAGAAGCATTTTTATCTCTAGGGGTCAGTTCCATCCTTCACACGGTTGACTCATCTTGCCCATTTTCCCGCCCTCACGGTCTGAGAGCTCATTGTTGCTTTATGCAGTTGGTGTGTCGTGTCTGTCCTGTCAGCACAGGCATGAAGACAGCGTGGCCGTCTTTCTCCACTCGGCTCATGTCACGAAGTGCAGGGACCGCAGGCCCACCCTGTTGGTGCCCTGCCGCAGACCAGCACAGCAGTAGACGATGAGGCCGTCTCAGGGTTGAGAGACTGCGCAGGGTGGTCAGGGATTCGGTTAAAGAAATGACAAACAGACACACTTCAAGAAAGTGTAAATCTGAGTGCACTTTATTTTAGTCAGTGGTCAGTATATATATGTTTTTTCTAAAGGCATAGGATCGGTGAACATCAAAGAAATCAGCTTGCTCATAGGTTTAGCTATCATTGACAGGGCAGTAATTTATGTCCAAAATACATCTGGACCTAGCTGCATTCCTAAGTAGACAGGCTATTAACTCTTTCTTATATTCTTGCTGTACTAACTACTACTACTACTACTTATGTTTATTCATAATTAATTGTCATAGGTGAATTTATATTATAATGCAGTTAATATCAAAGGTACTAAAGTCAAGCACATAATAGAAAGATTATTAAACTAATAATTATATTATAACACAGTGTTTAGTAATGTTTCATTTGCATTAGCCTAATTATTAAATTACGTATGTTTTTTAATTAGCAATCAATGACCAGAAAAAGGAAAGATTTTAGAGAGACGGTTGTAGCAGAATAAAGTTTGTGGGCCTTGAGAAAGCGAGATAAGGTTCCAGGTGGTCAGCATTTCTTTTAATCATCTCTGTGGCGGCTTCTGGTGGTCGTTATCTCTTGGCAGGCATTTGGCTTCTCTGCATCTTAGGGAGTTTGCTGTTCCCCCCCTGTGCGCATGGTTCCTTGCCCACGCCGGACCTCAGGGACCATGGCAACAGCCATTAGCCCTGAGGGTCACTGCAGGGGGAGGTGCAGCAGTGCCCCTTTGGCCCCTTGTGCCTGCGCCTCCCGTCTTCTCCTGCCCGGTCAGTGGAGGGGGGCACATTTCCAGGTCTTGGCTCTTGTGAGAGTCATGGGGAGCGCTGGGTGGGGCGGGGCGCATCGCCTTGGCCTAGTGTCTTCATGGAGCGGCCACCCGGGAAAAGAGGCCTGGCCTGGCGTACCCGCATCGCCTGGATCTTCTCTTTGGTATTCTAAGGACTCTCTCTGCTGCTTCTGACGATGGCCCCCCAGTGTACGTTCCCACAGCACGTGCAAGGATCCCTTCTCCTCGTCCCAGCACTGGCGCCCTCCGCTCCTGTGGAGCGGCCCCTCTAAGGGCCTGAGGCGAGCACTCACCGCTGCTGTGATTTTCAGCCCCCTGTGGTGAGAGCCATGGCTGCTGGCTGTCGTCTGTCTGCTCCTGGGCAGAGCCTGCTGGGGTCGTTGGGTTTTTCGTTGTTGAGTTCTGTGAGTTTGGGGTTTTTATTGGGGTGTTGTTGACAGCACCGTGTATGATTCAGAAGCCCCCGTTTATGCCTCTCAGATGTGCGCCACACACCAGCCCACACCCAAGGCGTCCACAGCCGCCTCTGTAGTCAGCGCGGCCCCCCACACTCGGTTCCCCGTCCTCCTCCCCCCGGGCAGCCTCCCTCCAGGTGGGTTCGCAGGCTTTGCTCCTGGCTTGCTCCGGTCTGACCCTTGTTTTCTGTTGGCATGTAAGAGAAACCATGGCTGCGTTCTTTCTCCTTCCTAGTTGGCTTAGCATTTTCCTCTCCAGCACCACCTGTAGTTGCAAATGGCAAGACTTGTCCTTTCTACCTCCGAGGAGTATTGCCTTGTTTATGTGTCCCGCAGCTCTTCTGCACTCAGCTGTCCCCGGCATTGAGTTGTTTCCGTCACTTGGCTCTTACAAGTAGTGCTGCGGTGGGCACCGCCCTGTATATGTCCCTTCACAGTCGTGTTTTTCTATGATTTGGGTAGAGTGGAGTGGACTTGCTGGATGGTGTCATTGATCTGCTTTTAATATTTTGAGAACCTCCATGGGGGGGTTGTCCATCGGGACATTCCCAGTAGTGCACAACAGCTACTTTTTCTCCGTATCCTTGCCATCATTTGTTTTTTGTTTTTTAGTTTTTTTGATTTGGGCCATTCTCACTGAGTAAGGTGGTGTCTCATTGTGGTTTTTTTTTTTGAACATTTATTTATTTATGCATACAAGAACTGGGGTGCAGGCCAGAGGTACAGGGGTGAGAGGATTCACCAGAGACAGAGCGGGGAGCAGAACAGGCAGATGGACTGAAACACACTGCTGAGGGGAGCAGCGGGAAGATAGGAGAGGTCTGCTGCGCTGTGTGGATCAGCTCCCTGGCTGGGGATCGCACTCATGCCGCGGAGGCTGCGGACAGCTTCTCAGTGCTGTGCTCAACCAGGGAGGCCCTCACTGTGGTTTTGATCTGCACTTCCTGATGAGAGATGGTGTTGAACATTTGTTTTTTTTTTCATGTGCCTATTGTCCACACGTGTGTCTTCTTTGAAGAAAAGCTTCTATTTAGTTTTTCTACCTATTCTTTCATTTGGTTATTTGTTTTGTTTCCGTAGATCGAAGGAGCTCTTTTAGATCTTGGATATCAGCCCCTTATCGGCTGTATGGTGCGCAAGTATTTTCTCCTGTTTGCAGGATGTCTTGGTGTTTCTATGATCAGTAGAATGCCTTTCCTTTCTCCAGTGTCTGCTGCTGCCTGCTCCTTTGTCATTTATGATATAGGTGTGACTTTACTTCGGGGCTTTCAGTTCTGAAAGGTCGTGTGCCTTTTTATCCCAGTAGCAAACTGTTTTTGATTATTGTAGCTTTGTAGTATGTTTATAGTCTGGGAGTGTGATGCTGACGTTCTTCCTCTTTTTGCCATAATTCTTTTGGCCATTCGTAGTCTTTGGTGGCTCCATGTGAACCTCACCACTGTGTGTGATCTGCAGGTTTCTTCTCCCACTCACTTGGATGTCTGTTCCGGTTTTTTTTTTTTTAATTTTTTTTTTTTAATAGAGGCATGTTTATTTATTTATTTATTTGTTTGTTTGTTTTGTTTATACATGCACTGGGTACAGTCAGAAGCGCGGGAGGGTGAAAGAATTCACCAGAGCCAGAGTAGGGAGCAGAGCAGGCAGAAGGACCGAAGCACACTGCTGAGGGGAGCAGCGGGCGGCAGGAGAGGTCTGCGCGCCATGTGGGACCCTCCTCCGGTGGCCGGGGAGCAGCCAGGGATCGAACCGGTGCCACAGAGGCCGCGGGCAGCTTTGCAACCCAGCGCTCTACCGCTGCGCCACCTGGGAGGCCCTGTCTGTTCTGTTTTAATGATGGTTGTTTTCCCCCCTGTGCAGAAGTGGTTTGGCTGGATGCAGTCCTATCCGTCATGTGTCGTTTTTCTTTTCCTTCCTTGCTGTTGGAGTTGAATTTCCAAAGACATATCTAAGGCCGTGGATGCCCAGGAGTGTGTCACCTGCCCCCTCTCCTATGTCTCTGATGGTGTCAGGACTCGATTCAAGTCTTTAATCTGTTTGGAATTAATTTCTATTTATAGATTGTGGCCTAGTTTTATTCTTTGTATTGTTGTCCGTGTGTTTTCCCTTCATCATTCATCTTCTGACACCCTTTACTGAAGAGATTCAACTTGCTGCTCCTGGCTCTTTTATAAATTAGTCGTTGTCAGTTTGTAGTATAGTCGAGGTGCACAGTACATTCATTATGTTGTTTTTTTTCAGGATTGTTTAGGCTCTTCAGGCTCTTTTGTAGTTCTCAATGTAATATTCTGAGGGATTTTGACAGGGAATGCATTGAGCGTATATTGATTAAGATGATGTATTCATCTTTGCACTGTTAACCATCCATAGCATAGAATACATTTACATTTCTTTGTGTCTTCAGAAATTCAACACAATTCAAATCATTTTTTAAAAAGATTTATTTATGTATGCGTATAAGAGCCGGGGTACAGGCCAGAGGTGTGGGGGGTGAGAGAACTCCCCAGAGACAGAGTGGGGAGCAGAACAGGCAGATGGAGTGAAAACAGTGCTGAGGGGAGCAGCGGGCATGACAGGAGAGGTCTGCTGCACCATGAGGGACCCTCGCTGGCCCGCCAGGATCGACCCGGCGCTGCAGAGGCTGCGGACAGCTTCATAGGTTGTGTCTTAACCCCTTGTGCCACCAGAGAGGCCCCTGTGTCTTCTGTTTGTTTCAACAGTATATTGTACAGGATTTTCAATTCCTTGGTATTTAACTCATTTTGATTGTAATGGGATTATTTCCCCCTGATTTTTCTTCGTTCTAGTTTGTTCATTGTCCACGGAAATGCAACGAACTTCTGTTTGAATGAATTTGGAGCCTGTCACTCTAATGTATCCACCTATCATTTCTAAGAACTTTTTACTGGCGTCTTTGGAATTTTCTCTGTATATTGTCATGTTATCTAAAAATTGATAGTTTTACTTTTCCTCTCCAGTTTGGATCTCTCTTATTTTCTTTGTTTTTTAGTTGCTGTGTGTTGAATTTCCAGCAACTAGGACATTCAGCACTATGTTCAGTCATAGTGTTGAGAGTGGACATACTGTTTTATTCCTGATCTTTTCCGCTTTTCAGCACTGAGTATGACAGTTGCTGTGGGTTTGTCAAATATAGTCTGTAGTATGTTGAAATTTGTTTGCTCTGTGCAAATTATTTGAGGGTCTTTATCATAAAAGGGTGTTGAATCTTATCAAATGTTTTTTCTGTGTCTCTTTCACATCCTTTTTTTTTGTTGATGTAGTGTACAGTGTTTATTGCTTTGGATGTGTTGAGCCATCCTGGCAGCCCTGGAATACATCCATGTGATTGTGGAGTTTGTGGGTCTTCCATGCCTGCATCTGCACACAGTCATCTCTGTGTTTTAACTTCCTGAGTTGGGCTATGTCAAACTTGCCTGTGACTTTAGATTCAAAATTCTACAATTGGCTTCCCCAGTGGTGCAGCAGGTTGAACACTGTGCTGCGAAGCTGTCCGCAGCCTCTGCAACACGAGTTCGATCCCCAGCCAGGGAGTAGCAGACCTCTCCTGTCTTGCCTGCTGCTCCCCTCAGTAGTGTATTTCAGCGGATCCGCCTATTCTGTTCCCCACTCTGTCTCTGGTGAAGCCTCACGCCCTCCGCATGTCTAGCCTGTGCCCCAGCTCTTGTAGAGTTGGGGTACAGGCCAGAGGTATGGGGGGTGAGAGGCTTCACGAGAGACAGAGTGGGGAACAGAACAGGCAGATGTATGGAAATACACTGCTGAGGGGAGCAGCAGGCAAGACAGGAGAGGTCTGCTGCGCCATGTGGGTTGCTCCCTGGCCGCCGGGGGATTGAACTTGTGCTGCAGAGGCTGCAGATTGCTTCATAGTGCAGTGCTTAACCCCTGGTACCATCAGGGAGGCCCAATAAATACATCTTAAAAAAATTTTATAATTGCCTGGTCATGTTCGTATCAGTTATGTCAGAAGTGAATTATTAAAATATTTATTTTATATATTGTTGATTTTCACCATATTTTTCAACTTCCATGTTATTTTATTTAGAAATGTCAGCCTCTGCCTGTCCTCTAGTGGTCAGGTTTCAGTCTTTAACTGTGAATGTGTGAGTGTGTGTGTGCATGCATGTGTCTGTGTGCGTGTGTGTGTAAATGTTAGTGTTTTTCTCTGGGAGGCCAACTCCATCATAGGTTTTTGTTTCTCTTCTGTATAACTTCAGATATGATTTGCTTGTTTTTATTGTGTAATTGTCCTACTTAACCCTACTTTAATAGAGGTAGTGAAAGTGTGAGTCTTTGCCTTTGTCCCCATCTAAGAGAAACTGATTTTCACGGTTGAATATGATGAGCTTTTCATATGTGACCTTCATTATGTTGACTTTTCTTTGCATTCCATAGGTGTTGAGTGTTTTCATTAATAAAGAATGTTGAATTTTTTTAGCGTTTGTTCATTATTTGAGATCATCATGTGCTTTCACCTGTATTATTTAATGCAATGTATTATAATGATTTTCTTTTTCTTTTCTTTTTAAAGATTTATTTATTTATGCATACAAGAACTGGGGTACAGGCCAGAGGGTGGTAAGAGGATTCACCAGAGACAGAGTAGGGAGCAGAACAGGCAGACTGACTAAAGTACAGTGCTGAGGGGAGCAGCGGGTGATTCAGGAAGGGTCTGCTGCGCCATGTGGGTAGCTCCTTGGCCGGGAGTCGAACTTGGGCTTCAGAGGCTGTGGACAACTTTATAAGTTGTGTCTTAACCCCTTGCACCATCAGGGAGGCCCCATAATGATTTTCTTAAAATAGTTTAATTTCAGAAATAATTTCTACTTTGTCGTTTTGTGTTAACCCTTAAATTTGCTATTGAATCCGTTTTCTTGTCTTTGTAGAGGGGTTTTGCATACATATTTCTCACACGTGCTGTCCTGTAGTTTGCTTTTCTAGTAACGTCCTTTGTTATCTTGGGCGTAAAGGCCATGTAGACCTTCTAGAGAAGCATTCAAAAATGTTCCCTCTTTCATGTTTAGAAATACTGGGGGCGATTAGTATAAATTCTCTTTAAAAGATTGGTATTATTATCAAGACAGTCTATCTTTACTTCAGAGGATCTTCTCCTGGATGAGTATTGATTACTTCTGTAGTCTCTAATTGTATTGGTTTTTTTTAAATTAATGTTTCAACCTTGGTAGATTCTGTGTTGTTGGAATTTATCCATTCATTTTAAATGTCCGTTTTAACTGTGAGACAGCCCAACAGTCACATGGAAGAATACTCAGCATTTATCATCAGGGAAATGCAAGTCAAACCGCAGCAAGATACACCTGCCCACACGTGTGGGAATGACCGGTGCACAAAAGACCAGAAACAGCAAGTGTTGGCGAGGATGTGCAGACAGGGAATCCCTCCTTCACTTGGTGGGGATGTAGACTTGTCCAGCCTGAGTGGAAACAGGAAAAATGTCTCTGAGAATAACTAAAAATAGGTCTGCTGTTCTACTGTGGGACCGTCAATTCCAATCCTTGTATCTAAGGAGGCAGAAGCACTAATTGGAAGGGACACAGGCCCTCTGAGTTCACTGCGGCACTTTCCACAGGAGCTGAGTCATGGAAACAGCCTAAGTGCCCGATGACAGACGAGTGGCTTGAGAAGATGTGCTCTTTATATGCAGGGGAATACTACGCAGCTGCTTGAAGTATGACATCATGCCATCTGCAGCAACATGGAAGGAGCTAGAGGGTATTATGGTAAGCAAAGTATGTCGGAAGGTGATAAACAAATACCGTATTATTTCACTCGTGGAATAGAGAGAAACAAACAGAACCCAGACGAAACTAAACCAAAGCAAACCCTAGAAATCTGAGTGTAGGACTGCGGCTCCCAGAGTTGGGGGCCAGGGGGGAAGGGGCGGGCTGTGCATGTTTTGGTGGTGGGTGTGGTGTGGTGACGCAGTCTCAAGAGGTGTGACCCTGTCCCCTGACTCTCACACAGTGTTGTAAACCAGTGATGCTGCAATACATTTTTTTTCAAATTAATTTTCCCCAGTTTTTCAGTTATGTTGTTGTTTTTAAAAACCCATTACTAGATTTATAGATGTTTTCCCCAGTATTTTTCTTTTCTGTTGACTGTTTCTACGGTTTCATATTCTGTTTGTTCTGGAACTTACGTTGTTGCTCTATGTGTAGTTTCTTGAGATTTGAAGTTAAGTGTGTTCACTTGAGAATGTTTTTAAATAAGCAGTTACTGCTTGAAGGTTCCCTCTTGGAAGTGGCGTCCCTGTGTCCCATATGTTCTGTCGTATTGTGTGATTCCGTGTCACAGGACCTATTTCCATCTACCTGGGGCCATTTCTGCTCTAGGGAAGTGACCCTGTGGAAGTGTTTAATTCCTATATATTTTGGACTTTTCCTTCTGCCATTAATTTCAAGTTTTTTTTTTTAAAAGACATGTTTATTTTTATACAAGAACGGGGTACAGGCCAGATCGCGGGAGGGTGAGAGGATTCACCAGAGCCAGAGCAGGGAACAGAACAGGCAGTCAGACGAAGTACACTGCTGAGGGGAGCAGCGGGCGGCAGGAGAGGTCTGCACGCCATGTGGGACCCTCGCGGGTAGCCAAGGATCGAACCGGAACTGCAGAGGCTGCGGGCAGCTTCGCAACCCAGTGCTCAACTGCTCGCCACCCAGGAGGCCCTCAAGGTCCTTTTTAATTTTTTCTTTGATGTCATCATGAATGCAGTGGTCGCTCAGTTGCATGTTGTTCCGTTCTTTGTAGAGTGGGGTTCCATGCTCATTGCATAGTTGACTTCTAATTTGATGCCTTTATGGTCGGAGAACATCCTGGTGTGATTTCAGTCTTCATGTGCTTGTTGCTGTTTGTCTTGTGTCCTAGTACGTGACTGATCCTGCAGGATGATCTGTGTGCACCTTGAAAAGTGTGTATTCGGTTTTGGAGGTGCAGTGTCTTACAGATGTTGTCCATCAGGCCCGTGTGTTCTAGAGCTTTACTGAGGGTTATTGTGTTCTTGTTTAGCTTTTGGCTTGTTGATCTGTGCTTTGGTGAGAGTGGTGTGTTCAGGAGGTTGGAGGGGAGATTTTCCCTTCATGGCACATGACTTACAGTTTTGTCTCTTTCTTGACATTTTGTTCAGATTCTCTATATTCGACGTGTAAATGAAACCATCTGATATTTATAATTTTCCTTCTGACCTATTTTGCTTAGCACAATAAGTGAATGCTAAATTTAAGACTTTTTGCAATTATTAGTTTCTGCATTTTATTGCTTAATGTGGTAATTATGTTTAGAAATTATTTGCTTTTAAACTCTTGCATTGTGGGCCTCCCCGGTGGCGCAGCGGTTGAGCACTGGGTTGCGAAGCTGCCCGCAGCCTCTGTGGCGCCGGTTCGATCCCCGGCTGCTCCCCGGCCACTGGAGGAGGGTCCCACATGGCGCGCAGACCTCTCCTGCCGCCCGCTGCTCCCCTCAGCAGTGTACTTCGGTCCTTCTGCCTGCTCTGCTCCCCGCTCTGGCTCTGGTGAATTCTCTCACCCTCCCGCGCTTCTGACTGTACCCAGTGCATGTATAAACAAAACAAACAAACAAATAAATAAATAAATAAAGCATGCCTCTATAAAAAAAAAATAAATAAACTCTTGCATTGTTATTGCATGAAATATATATGTAACATACACACACAGACACACACACACACACATACACACAGAGAAAAGACAACATAGTTTCGAAATCCAGCACCCAAAGTCACCCATTGTCCCGTGGGTGAAAGTCCATCTAAGCAGGATTGGCCCAGAGCAAGGCCCCAACGCCTGTCCCAAGTCTAAAGCACCTTCCAGCGGAGACCCACAGAGAAGCATCAGGAACAACCAGAGTAGTCTGGGAGGGAAAGAGCAAAACCAAGACAAAAACCGACACTGTCCCCTCCCCACGGGCCTCACCCGCATCTGTGTGCCCCAGTCCATGACCAAAAGGCAGGTGCAGTGTCTCCTCGTGTCTCTGGGCTCCATGTGCCTCCTCCAGGCCTCCTTCTGGCTGCATCCTGCTTCCTTCAGTCCTCAGTCTCCTCTGCAGCTGCTTCTCCCTGCTCTGCTCCACCCTCCTTTTGGGTGGGGCAGGAAACCTGGAACCACCCCTTTTCCTGGGTACCCCCCTGTTACAATAACACCTGCATTGTCCTGGGTGGGCAGAGGGTCGGCTGCCCCTTGCTAGGGCAGAGACTACACGGGTGTGTTCCTTTTCTCTTTGGGAGGCCTCCCTCCTTTGTGGAGTGGCCTGTTTGTTGCTGACGTTGCATAACTTGGCAAAACTAGAAAGGGGTCTCGGGTTCCAGGATGGACCCAACATCCCTGTCTTTCCCCTCAGGCCTGTGCTCCACTCCCTAGAGCATCTCATCCTGCTTGGGCCTTAGGCCTTGTGATAAGGCACTCGCCCGAGGGCCTTGATTTCTACACGCCATTAATGGTCATGTTACTTCCCTCTACCCCCACCTCCTTGTGTGAGTCAGGTTCTGGTCTCGGGCACCCCTTTTCCAGGTTTTTCACTCTTGTCCTCCATCAATTCTTCCAAGGTAGGAAACTCAATTTGAGACATGTTTTTAATTGCAGTTTGGCAGGGGTGTGGTTTTTTTTTTTTTTTTTACTCATTCATTCTTCACTGTCGATAACAGGGGTGTACAGCACCGTCAGTCTCTGCAGCTTGGCCTGACTCCAACCCCTAACCACTAAACCACAGAACTCAGGGATGTCAAAGTCTGGGCCACACTGTATTGGACTGCACCATGATGTGCAAAGAGAAACATTGTATGTGGAGCCCAGAGCCTTCATTTTTCTCATAATGTATTTTGATAGCAGCTGCTTTATTTTTTTTTTAATTTTTTTTTAATAGAGGCATGTTTTATTTATTTATTTATTTGTTTGTTTGTTTGTTTTTGTTTATACATGCACTGGGTACAGTCAGAAGCGCGGGAGGGTGAGAGAATTCACCAGAGCCAGAGCGGGGAGCAGAGCAGGCAGAAGGACCGAAGCACACTGCTGAGGGGAGCAGCGGGCGGCAGGAGGGGTCTGCGCGCCATGTGGGACCCTCCTCTGGTGACCGGGGAGCAGCCGGGGATCGAACCGGCGCCGCAGAGGCCGCGGGCAGCTTCGCAACCCAGCGCTCAACCGCTGCGCCACCGGGGAGGCCCGATAGCAGCTGCTTTTTTTAAAAAAAATTTATTTATGCATACAAGAGCTGGGGCACAGGCCAGAGATGTGGGTGTGTGTGTGAGGACTCACCAGAGAGAGAGTGGGGAACAGAACAGGCAGACCGAGTGAAGTACATTGCTGAGGGGAGCAGTGGGTGAGTCAGGAGAGGTCTGCTGCACCGTGTGGGATGCTCCCTGGCCGGCCGGGTGATGGAACTCTTGCAGCAGTCTGCGGATCGCTTCATAGTGCGGTGCTTAACCCCCCGTGCCACCAAGGAGGCGCAATAACAGCTGCTTTTTAATGTTTGCAATAGGATCCATTTCAAGATCTGCAGGTAAATGACATTTAGTTGTGATTTATTTTATTTTGTTTAATTTTTACAGATTGATTTACTTATGAATACAATAGCTGGGGTGCAGGCCAGAGGTGTGGGGGTGGGGTCAGGGGATTCACCAGAGACAGAGCCGGGAACAGAACAGGTGAACTGAGGGGAGCAACTGGGAGACAGGAGAGGTCTGTGGCGTCCTGTGGGTCACCTTCCTGGCTGGGGATGGAACTGGGGCTCCAGAGGCTACGGATGGCTTCACAGTGCGGTGCTTAACTCCTGCACCCCAGGATGGCCCCTAGTCATGCTGTTATGTCAGCTTCAGGTAAGGGGATTTTTAAGAATGATTTAAAAAAAAATCTTTCCCAGAAAATCCAGCAACCTTGGTTGCCGTTTCGGGACTGCGAGGGCTCCCTGCCGGTCCTGGGCCTCCCTCCCCGCGGGCCTGTGCGTTTCCGTCCCACGGGCTGCAGTGCAGTTTGGGGAACGGGGTTTCTACTTTCCTGGGGCCCATCCCCCTCCACCCCAGGTCCAGCAGGCAGGAGGCCGGGCCGCGTCCAGTCTCCCGGGTGCAGGCTCTGACCAGCGGGCTGTGTGGGCCTGGGGCTCTGCTTTTCTCTCCGGGTCTGGGGCGCTGCCCCTGCCGGGCCTGGGCCCACGTCTGAGGGCTGAGGCGTCACTTCCCTGTCGCGCAGCTGAGGTGGCTGTTCAGAGCCTGGAAGGGCCTTTCACACCTGGAAACTGCCTCAGGAGGCGACTTTTTTTTTTAAAGATTTATTTATGCATATAAGAACTGGGGCACAGACCAGTGGTATGGGGGGTGAAGATTACTACAGACAGAGCGGGAAACAGAACAGGCAGATTGACTGAAGTCCACTGCTGAGAGGAGCCGCTGGCGAGTCAGGAGGGGTCTGCAACGCCTTGTGGGTAGCTTCCTGGCTGCCTGGGCATCAAACACAGGCTGCAGATGCTGCAGATCGCTTCATAGGTTGCTTCTTAACCCCTTGTGCCACCAGGGAGGCCCATGAGCCGATTTTAGACCCATGAGCCAATGTAGAGGATTCACCAGAGACAGTGGAGAACGGAACAGGCAGAGTGATGAAATACACTGCTGAGGGGAGCAGTGGGCGTGATAGGAGAGGTCTGCCGCAAGATGTGGGACCCTCGCCGGCTGGCCAGGATCGAACCGGTGCTGCAGAGGCTGTGGACAGCTTCACAGCACTGCGTTCAACCGCCTGCACCACCAGGGGAGGCCCTTAAGAGACAGATCTTAATCTGTCTCTTCTGTCCTCA